AAAAAAAAACCCTTGAGAAAGGGATTAGGAGGAAGGCGGAGCACTTCGTAATATAAAAAAATTCTCTAGAAAATCAGAAAAACGAGCCTATCCTACTTTTATAAGGGTTTCTGGTTGGGACATAAGGACAACTGAATCTGATTGTTTTTGAGTTATCAGACAGGCATAATAGCAGCTTAGCCTTATTGGTGCATTTATGCGTTTCAGATAATTCAGCAACCTCGCATAAATGCACTGCCTTAATCTGAAAACAAGAAACCTCGTTAGCCTGCGCCACTGGTGGAAATTATAGCTTTGTGGTACTATACCCATCTCCTCAGTCATTTTGTTCCGTTCAGTCCCATTGTTTTCTCCTAAAAATTTTCAATCAGCCCTCCTAGTCGTTGCGGCAAAGTAAGCCTGATATCTCAATTTTTGATGTATTGGGAAGGTTTCGAAAGTTCATTTTTCAAAGCAAAGGAAGTTTAGTATGTACGAAGGATGATGGCGCTGAAAGAATCGATTGAAACGCGTAGGTGGGTTCTAGGTTCTTTGAAATGAAGTTGAAAAGAATAGAAGTTGCGGTAGATTTTTGTCCTGATGTTTTGGAATTTTCAAAATACTTTTACAGTCCTATGGTTATCATTTCAACAGTAGAAAATGTATAGAGTCTTATCTCTCCTAATCTTCAAATAGATCTGTGATACTTTCAGGAACGTGTTCGAGAGCAGCTTAGCGAGATGCGGCCTCGCGAGAGCAATGTCGACACTAGTCAACCTCCAAAAAGGAAGAGGGGTCGGCCGCGGAAAAATCCTGAGGAAGTGAAGCATGAAGAAGTGAAGGTAGAGGAGTACATCTCTTCTATTAATATGATACCTGCAGTGCGTCTGTTTACATTTAGAAACCAAGAGCGAAAAGGAGAAGTCGTGCCAAGCGCGATAGTTCCGACAGTAATGAAGAATTCAGCCTTGATGATGATGATATCGAAGAAGATGAGGAGGATGAGTTGGAAGAGCCTGAAGATGATCCAAACGATCCAGAATTTGAGCCAAATCGGCGAACCAGCCGTCGACAACGAAAGGTTTTAAATACTTTTAATGCTTTTCCCACTTTTCTTTCACTGCCATCTGCACCTACGCATCCTTCTATATCATTAAATCTTTTAAAAGATGAGTACTCCGTCGTCCGCTTACCCTTCTCGTAGTAGGAACGTTGCAAATTTGAAATGAGTCGTATCAAAAGTTTAGTAGTAGCTTTATAAGCGAAGTTTTTATAAAGTAAAGGTCTTAGGAATCAAGCGATAGTTGGAAATATCTAGATGCAGCAAAAAAATTTCTAATCTAAAGATTTGATACGCTTGTTAGTTTAACAAATACCTTTCCAGCCGGTCAAAACGTACAACACTAGGGTATTATTGAAAGAAGAAATGTCAAAAGCTAGAGAAACGTTTGTAAGTTTCTTTCCTTCGCATTTTTTGGATGGGTTTTTATCCACTCATATCCAGAAAGTGAGCAGAGGGCGCGGACGTGGTCGCCCTCGTGGAAGTGGTCGAAGAGCTAACATTGATTTGAGTTTTCTGGAAGATCCGAGACGAACACGTGTTACCGACGAAAACGAGTTCGAAAGGCTTCTTGACGTAAGCTTAAAACCTATTCTATTTTTGTTGTAGGTATAATTTGATATTTGCCAGGAAGAGGTGGCACTGTATGAACAGCATCTTCCCAAATTACCACCTGTGATACCCGATCCAAGTCAAAGGTTATATGTTGTTCGGGTTGATTCAGTGGAAGCCCTTGCAAATGCTGGCGCCGGTTTTCGTCTCATGACCAGTTGTGTTACCGATGACATGATGGTATCGCTCTTGTAAGTAATATTTTGTCATATCTAACAATTTCATATTAGCAAGAATTTTTCAATTATAGGTTTTTGTATATGTTTTCTAAAGGACATTGCTATAGAGGTTTTTATACTTTTCGTAGTAAAAATTGTATAATTCGACTATGTGCTGAATCACTTTTTTTGTGCGATTTTGAATGCTCTCGTTATAGTTTTGATTGGGAGGTTCCTTATTTAGGGGAAAATAGTAGTTTCTTAGGGCAACACCCTATTGTTGAGTTACGGTAAGATAACAGGAGATGGTCAGTGTCATTCATCACGACTTATTTCAGCCATCTCACTACGGATAGGTATTTTGTCAATAATAATGCCGAGGACGTGGTGCAACTTGCCCAAGTGCTGCGGCACGTGGTACGTTTCCACTGTTCTGCTTAGATGATTTTTTCTCCTGATTTGAGATCTCATGTATTCTTCTCACACAATTATAAGAATCTCATTAGTGGAACCAACTTCCGTTAGGCAAACGCTTAGCCTGGGAAGACGCGGCGCACAAAGCAGCTCTGAAAAACCATACAGCCAGGGACGACGGTGAAGCAGCAGGTGGGCTTAAACGAAGTTCTCTTCCAATGTTTTAAGTGAAATTTTAAGGCGATGAATATGTACATGTCCGTAGTGAGGCTATGCCAGTGCGAGAGTTCCCATTTGGCCTGGATCCTCATCTGCCCAATTCATGGCGAGCGCAAGCTTTTAATGGTCCTGCAGCATCCGATATGATCAGAAAACAAAGGCCTATTATAAGCTCTTGCTGCGACGTTCGCGAAACGTGGAAGTCTTTCATTGATGTGCAGGTTTGTTCTCATGCATTTTTTACTTAGCTTTCATTAAAATTTGTTATCCGCTTCTTTGAGTTTCAGGCTCATCTTTTGGGTGGTCATTATACCGCTATATTCTATGCTTGTCATTTTTGCGGTGTTCTTTTTCACTCAGTAGAGGCACTTTTGACACACGTGGATTGCGCGAGATGGACAAGTATGCTTCTTAATCAAGTGGTAAAAGGTGGAGGGAAACAGAAGGTTTGTTCTATCACCGCTTCTTCATAATCTTCATCAATTTTGCATTTCCCTCGTATTCCAGGTTGAAATGAAGGTTGCCTACCTTTTCATGGTATGTACAGATTGTGGCTTATGGTTACCAATACGAGTAAATTATCCACCAGATCGGCTTCCTAAGGCGTGGTGCTTTTTTGCCACCGTTATGGTTAATCTCCTTTTCTTTCGCATATTCCAAATTGAAATATTGTTTTTACTGGTGTTTTGCAGGAGAGTCATTCATGTAAGAAGCTGGTACCTTTGCTAGTATACATGGCGGAGTATGTAGACGTACCGTCCAGAGATGCACGTCTTATTATCCACTTTGTTCCGTCATTTTTGAAGTAAATTTTGGTTTTTTCTTGAGTTTTTCTTATATCTTAACACATTTCCGATCCCCCCTTTCCCCTTTTCTTTCCTGTCGTGGTCATT